AAGGAAGTAGAGTGTAGTACGACACACACTAGGCGAGAAAGGACGACGTTAGGTTTCGTTAGTGTCGTCTAACGAGGTACGTTCGTTACCCTACCCTACCTAACGAAAACTAAATAGTAACAAGTAACATACTCTCTCTCTCTCTCTCTCTCTCTCTCTCTCTCTCTCCATATGTGTAATTCATCTCCCTTGCCTGTGCTTTCACTTCATAATATGGTTATGTGCATGCCTTAAAAGGGCATAGAATACTTAAAAATACAATAGTGATTGATTTGTTGGTGTTAAAAAAGAGGTTCTTATTATGTGCATCCCCTTATATTTTTTATTTTTTCCAACTTTGCTTCCGGTCCAATGTTTGATGTTTCAAACTACTGATTGTTAATTTTAATCTTAATAAGGCCATCAACCGATGTCAAAATATCGAACAGGATCATTTTTATGCCGCTTGTGCGATTTTTTTTCCTCCTCTCTCTTATCTATTATTGCATCACCCTAACACAAGTGGGTCTGCCCTACAAATTGTGCGGTTCGATTTTTTTGACATCGGACAATTTTATGAATATCAAAATTTAATAAAAATAAAAATTAATAAACGATCTAATATTTGAAACATCCGGTCAGAAACAAAACTAAACAAAATAAAAGGAGTCCTTCTATATAAATACCACATATTTTTGGGCATTTTCATTATAACGGTAAAATAAAGCGATACAGACGTAGTTTTCCCTTAAAAATAAAATTGGCTCCCTTAAAAAAAGCAAAATACCACCGTGACAATAAATAACTCTCTATCTCTCTCACAATCATGACAATAATAGCACTCCCTCTCTCTTAGACAGCTTTCTCTCCTCTTTTTAACAAGGAAAAAAAGTGAAACCTCTTTCTCTCACCTCGAAAACACACACAAACACCCAATTCTCTCACATACATTTTCTTTCTCAATCAAATGCCTCTCACATACACACTCAAACACCTCTCTCTCTCCATATATGCTATTCATCTAACTTCATGCCTGTACTTTCACTTCATAATATATTAATATGATTACGTGCATGTCTTAAAGGGTTTAGAATACTTAAAAATACCAAAATGATTGATTGGTGGGTGCTAAAAAAAGAGGTTCTTATCTCTTAAAATACCCCATAATGACCAATAAGGTGCGACCTCACTATAAAATTAGAACTCCCATCTTAAAAGTAAAAATTGGCTCCCTTAAAAAGCAAAAATGCCATCATGACAATAAATAGCAATCGCTCTCTCACCATCATGACAATCTCTCTCTCACGGAAGGGGTGGTAATGAACCTGGACCCCGACCGAATCTAGGAGATCGGACCCGACCCGACCCGATTCCAGAGGGTCCAAAAATTGGATCCGACAGGTTGGGTCCGGGTCAAAATATTGGACCCTGAATACCATTCAAGTCTAGGTCTTGGTTAGGAGTCTATGTGAACCCGCCTTGAATAATGTTATTATTTCAAAGAAAAATTTTATATAGATCCGAGGTTCTAAACAATCGAATTAGAGCTTATTTCAAAAATTTCATTAGAAGAGGTTATTTTGATGCCCAAATATACTCCAATCGATCATCTCGACATCAAGATGCATGTACATGAAAAAAAAATGGATTTCAAGTTATGAAAATAGTGCGTCTTGTAACGCAGTTTTTGACCGTCAATTTTCAAGTTTTCATAGATCTGCTCGATCTATACTATTTTGAAGTTTTAAATTTTGTAATTGAATGAAAATTTATTTTAATGCTATCACAAAGATTTCCACTATTGAACTACATTTCTCGATACTATTTACAAGTGCACATTACTTTGATTGTTTAGAGCCTCGGCTCTATACAAAAGCTCTCTTTCCTCCAACACACAAAAACACAACTCTCTCCTATACATTTTCTCGCTATCAAATACCTCTCACACGCACTCAAACACTCCTCTCTCTGACACGCATGCTCTCTTTCGTTGCTGTGATATCTCTCTCTCTCTCTCATGCTCTCTGACTCAATGTTTTGATTTTTGAATCTTTGATACAGGCCCAACCAAAGAAAGGAGTATTGAAGGAGAAGAAGAAGTGGGGTTTTGGCAAATTCAGGCATGGAGAACCAAACTCCTCCTTCATTTCACGCTACACTAGAGAGCCTAGTAGTGTGGAGTCGATTCTTGGTGAAGCTGAGCAAGAGAACCAGAAGAAGCACTCATATGCAGTCGCAGTGGCGACCGCAGTTGCTGCCGAGGCAGCGGTCGCCGCCGCCAATGCGGCCGCAGAGGTTGCCCTTCTGACAGGCTCATATTACCCTCCTCGTTCAAATGATCATTTGGCAGCCACCAAAATACAATCTGCATTTAGAGGATACGTGGTAAGAAACTAATCATGCATAATAAGGAAAAGTTGTATCATCCATGTGATCATGATAATAGTATTGCTAGGGCTCGCAATGGGCTTGGCCAGCCCCGGCCCTAGCCCAGCCCCGGCCCTAGCCCAGCCCTAGCCCAGCCCTGATCCCATAGGGTCGGTCTAGGCCTGGCCCAGCCCTAACAAGGCCAAAGAGGTCCAGGACCTATTACGGCCAAGCGGGGGTGGCCCGAGTGAGGACTAAGTAAAAAAATTGAAAAAATGTAAAAAATATATAAAAAGGGCCGGGCAGAGCCCAAATAGGCTGGCCCTGTCTTGACCAGGCCCACACTCGGCTCGGCTCTCAGGCTACATTTTGTGGCCTAAACCATAATTTTTTGGGTTGGCCACCTGGCTTATTGCTACCCCTAAATATGGTTTATAGTGTGATTTTTTTTCTTTTTTTTTTGTGGGTTGCCAGGGGGTGTATTGCAGGGGCTAGCAACGAAATAATTCATTATTTGAAGTGTAGGCTCCACTCCTCTTCTTTTGTCCTCCAAGGCATTGGTTAGATGGTGATGAGCCTTATGATCATGTTGTTACCATGATCATTTGGATCATACCATACTCTTCGATAGTATGATATAAACTAATCTGGTCGGGCCTAGGTCAACCCCAACGAAGACCCAACTTGCCTAATCAAGTTGAATTTAGGTCTAAATAAAAAACAAAAAGAAAAATTTTAAAAAATTATTATACATATTTTACAAAATAAAAAAAATTATTATACATATTTTACAAAATAAAAAAAATTATTATACATATTTTACAAAATAAAATTTATTGGTTATTAGGTTGGTCCAATCAGGTCGACGTCAACCTGTCCTGACACAACCCAATAAGGACTTGAATAAACCTAACCTAACCGGAACTAACTCAGGACTACAGGACTACACTCGAGTCAAGTAGACCTATTAGGCTTGACATTGATCCTGACTAGATTGCCTCCCCTAGATTCTAACTTATTAGGGTCCGTTAGCCTGGCTGTCTACATCGTAATTGCGTGAAAGCGGTTTAGATGGTCACATGGAACCCTTTGCCCTAGGCCCCTTATTTGAGTGTCGTGAATCTTTCCTTGAGATAAATGTAAAGTTGAGCTAATCTCATCTAGACCCAAATGGGCTTGGACCATTCCCCATTTAATTCTAGGATATTCTTTTTTGGAATGGTATAAAAGAAGATCAATATATCATAATTACCTTTAGCTGTCATGTATAATATTCGGCAGTCGGGGGTGTGCTATTGCAAGTGTCTAATAAAATATTTCTCACATTATGTGACTTGCCCCTCACTCTCCTGTTTCAAATCTGATAGCTCAGAATGCATGTGAACGTCTTGTATCAAAAGTAAAGGATTTTACACCTTTTTTTTATTTGGACAACTAATCAACAAAAGATAGAATTTTGAACATTCGAATCATCATTGGGCCTAGCACAGTAACTGGAGATCTTGTTATTATAATCGTCAAAACAATTCAAAATAGTTAAACATGAAAACCAAATCTATGATTGAAAAGTGTTGAAATTCAATAAAATCATAAAAAATTAAATCAGAGAATAATAATAATAAATTTATCTTGAAATTATGTATAAGACCATTTACCTTTCTTAAAAGAAAGTCATAGTCATCCTTAGGTGCCAGATATGAAATCCAACAGCTAGCAGTATGCCCCAAAGTTTGGGAAAAAAAATTTAAACTCAGGATACATTAATGGCACAGCCCCAACAATCCAATTTCACATCTAACAGAATTGTGATCTTTTTGTACGAAAGTTAAATAGCCTTGTTGCATACTTCCTCGTTTATTTCTTTTAGTTTGGAATAACAATTTTGATTGATGTAGATCTCAGTACTAAAATATGGAAAATAAAATTGAAATGGTACACATTATTTTGCAAATGTAAACTGAGAACAAATACCACTGTAGCAAGCTTAAGCATAGGGGTGGCAATGGACTTGAGACCCAAGGGGTAGACCCGATCTGGGTCCGGTTACCCGGCGGATCAAGTCCATATCCAAACTTTGGACACAAGCACTATTCGGGTCCGTGTCTGGTAATTTTTTTGGGTCCCAATAAATAAAATATATTTAAATATTAATTAAATACATAAATATTTTAATTTTGGGTTAGGTTTGGGTCCCACACTATATTGTCAGGTCCAAGTCCAAGTCAGGTCCCATATCATTTTTCCAGGTCCGGCCAAACCTATTGCCACCCCCATTTAAGCATGATTAAAAGAGATTCTTTGTTCTAATTTAAGCATGATTAAAGAGATTTATGATTCTGAAAATGGGCATTAATGTTGGAGTATGGTTTCTAGGCAAGGAGGAGTTTTAAGGCTCTAAAGGGTTTGGTGAGGCTTCAAGCATTGGTGAGAGGACAGAGTGTGAAGCGCCAGACCACGAACACAATGAGGTGCATGCGGCTGCTGGTGCGGGTGCAAGCTCAAATCCATTCAAGAAGGATTCATATGCTGGAAAACTCCATTCAACAAAAGAGTGACAAGGACAATGAGAGCACACTGGGAAGATGGACTTTGAGTCACCAAGTGAATCTCTCTCTCTCTCTCTCTCTGAAGATGGACTTTGAGTCGATAAATACTCTCTCTCTTTGAGTCGACAAATACTCTCTCTCTATATGTATTTGCTACTTGCTAGAGATAGTGCATCTTGAGCTATATATATATATGGTCACGAGTGTCTATGATACAGATATAAGTCTCAAAAATATGAACTCTAAAAAATAATATCGTATAATACACATAAATGTACACAAATCCCTTATAATTAGGATGCTTTTACAGTCCGAAAATGAGCATCATCACGACGAATGGGACGACAGCGTGCTTACAAAGGAGGAGATCGATGCAAGGATGCAACAAAAGCTGGAGGGCATCATCAAGAGGGAGAGAGCCTTAGCCTACGCATACTCTCAAAAGGTTCTCTCTATATACCTTTATATATATATATATATATATATATATATATATATATATATATATATATACACACACTAACTAGTATATAGTCGTCGTCGTAGGTAGTACGTGTAGTTAAGTTAAATTAATTAATTAAGTAATTAAATTAAATTACTAATACT